ATATTATAATTTACGCCTACTGAAAGCTTATTTGTGTATCGGTTCGAAGTGACTTAGCCAAATAGGTCATAAATGGGCAAGTACCTGCGCGACCGCTCGCCAGCTTCCTTCGTCAGACCTGTATGAGTGTGGATGTAGAAAAAATGTGGACAAGACGATTAAAGTTGGGTACAGTAAGATAATAACAGATAAAGAAGTATGGATATGGAACGAAGAAAATGAAGAAATGGCAAAAAAGGAAAAGAAGCGTACATCTTCGAAGGAATAAGAGGCTGGACGCGAAGAAAGAATAGAAGTACATACAATAAGAAAAAAGTGACAATAAAAATGGAAGAGACTACAATGCGAATGAAGGTATTAGCAGAAAAAGAAGGCGGCAGGACAAGTTGATGGAATCCTAAGGTTATCTTGGATTTACACGATAGAAAATGTAGATAACCTTAGCAGTTTGAACAAAGTATATTAGTGTATATCCATTTTTCACCCCAATCATTGTTTACTGAATCGTTTGTATTATCCACAGATCTCTATTCTTAACACCCTTCATTATCTATTTTATGCTTGAAATTTTTGTTTACTTGCAGTTCTTTATTTTCACCCTATTCACGAATGATAAAGCATATATTATAATATTTGTACTCTCACAGAATTTGGCTATTCAAACCATCCTCATTATAAGGTGATGTTTTATTTAATTTTTTATTTGTATATTTACTTTCAGTTTGTAAATTTTTATACAGTTACTTCTGCAGCAATGTAAGTGTGTAATTCAAATTCTAATAAGTATAGAAGGTTTTATTTATACAAAGATACATCCATCTATCTCTATATCTATTCCGAATGCAGCTTTGTTTCAAGCCAGTAATAACCTAACGTTCCCACATCGCCGATGAATTGTGGCTTTTCCTACAGCAAGTAAAGGATATCATCAAATGCGAACGAAACTGTTGCTTATTTCGATTTAACTCAAAGCGAAACAAGTATTTCATACGAAGACGTCATACGAGATTTAATGGGTTCCTTGGTTGCCAGCCCCCTGGATTCCTGGCAACAGATTCGCATGAACGCATCAGTTATTCGGAAAATCACGGGATAAACAAACAGCTTGGGCGTCTCTTCGCTCTTATACGCAAATGAAAATTAAATAGTATCGATTTTCTTTTCTCTTACATTCGATGCAGTAAAACGGAATGCATATATTTTAATATTTTCGACCTTGCAAAGCGATGGACAAATATTAAACTTTCTTAGAAAACTAACAGGTCAACTTAACTTCTACGAGTTAACTTAATTTTATTATAATGGTCCGCAATTTTCCATTCTCAGAAAGAGTCTTTACACTTTATAAGGTTGAAATTTTCAACAGAAACCGTTACATATATATTTCCCATTAAAGGGGATGCATTTTAATAGTTTGGACCTTGCAAGAAAACTAGCCGACGGATCAACTTCTAAGGGCCAACTTAAATTTATTATAATGGTCCGCAATGAAAAAAGGAAAGATAATTTTCCATTCTCAGAAAGAGTCTACATTTCATAAGGTTGAAATTTTCAACAGAAACCGTTACATATATATTTCCCATTAAAGGGGATGCATTTTAATAGTTTGGACCTTGCAAATTGAAAGTCAAGTATGAAACTTCTTTAGAAAACTAGCCGACGGATCAACTTCTAAGGGCCAACTTAAATTTATTATAATGGTCCGCAATGAAAAAAGGAAAGATAATTTTCTATTCTCAGAAACGGTCTCTACATTTTATAAGGATGAAATTTTACAACAGAAACCGTTACATATATATTTCCCATTAAAGGGGATGTATTTTAATAGTGTGGACCGTGCAAATTGATAGTCAAGTATGAAACTTCTTTAGAAAACTAGTCGACGGATCAATGGCTCGAAATGAAGAAAGGACAAATCATTTTCCATTCTCAGAATGGGTCTCTACACGTTACAAGGATGATTTATGACCATTTAATAAGAGTGAATATTTTTAAATTTGGATCTACTTGACTAATCATGAGATTAAAATTCTTTCTTTTAATTTCATTTTTTTAGGATACTACTTTTTTCTTTATTGGTTGCTAGAACGAAACGTTTGTGTTTGTTGGTATATATTCGATTTATGTTAATTTTTTTATACGAGCGTTACTCAATTTCTCCAATTAGTCTAGGTCAGGGATGGCGAACCTTTACGAATCGACGTGCCATTTTTATAAAGAGAAGTTTAATCAGGTCATAGACGTGCCATCAAATAATTTTGTCTCTGTGATTATTGCGAAAATAATAAATTATATCAACTCAAAATTCTTTATTTACTGCAAAAAATAGAAACATTTTGCAATGTTTCAATTATAAGTGTAATTTAAATTAAAGTAAAATTAGTGTGATTTCTGTTGTTGCAGATTAGATGACAAATAACTTATGTTAGGGTTGGGATTGTTACGGATGTTACTTTTAGCAGAATGCATGATGAACTGGAGTCATCTGTCAAACGGTTTCTAAAAATCAATCACAGAAACAAATTCTTCAGTAACTTGGTCTTCGTCTGGTTTCTCATGTATTTCTAAGTTTTTGTCATATTTTTTCAAATTTGGAAAACACTTGCAGTTTCTTGTGATGATGTCGTTCCTGAAAATTGGCAGTTTAGCCTCAAAAGCGCGAATGACATGATTATGAATATGACGATAATTGTTTTATTTATGCTTTGAAGTTTCATGTTTAAATTATTTGACGTGACGTGCCCAAAATATTGCGTCGCGTGCCACTAATGGCACGCGTGCCATTGGTTCGCCATCCCTGGTTTAGGCAATATGAGCGGTATTGTTTAAATCACGAAAGTATTGAAGCTAATTTTTATACGTCAGTATAATTAAATTATATTATTTCAAATCCTAAACTATTTAGCAAAAAGACATTTTTTAGAAGAATTTTTGTAGTGTTCAATATACTAAACTGAATTAATTTTCTACTACAGATAACCTCAGACGAATGAGTAAAAATTATTGCTGCTGTCACGCCCTCGCCGGGAATCGAACCCGAGTACCTGGTTTTACGGATCATTGCTTTGCGGTAGAAAATATTTTTCCTTTAGAACTTTCTTTGGTGTTTTCATTCCTTTTGATAAAAACAGGAAACTTAATAAGAGACCATTTTGTATCGCTGTTCCAGCTTGTCTCATCGTTCATTTTCTTTAGTGTACTTGAGTGTTTTGGTCGGCGTTCGTCCCCGAACCCCGAAATGCTTTTTTATTTACGGCTAATAGAAAATTGTCACCTACATCAAACCACAGATGATCGATTACGTGAGCAAGCACAGAAGAAGTCCATAAATCATTCTGATTTTGCAGTGACAGCTTCAAGTAAACTTTTCTGTTTATTTTAACAGATGGAACTGTTACCTCTAATAACCCCATTAAAAAAAAGAGAAATGAGACGAACTACACAATAAACGCTTGGAGGAAACGTTGAATCAGTTGGATGAATTATCTTAAGATGGGAAGGCTTGTTAGAAACGAAATTTCTCACAGAATTTCTGAGTAAAACTTTCCAGGAATTAACTAACATGTTTCAGTACATTAATTTCAATTTGCGTAAGAATCCCACAATTCCCGCATTTCTCCTCCGAAATCAGTGAGTTGTGAATTCACTGAAACACTGAAAGTACTTGCCTTATTCATACATATATTGCAGATGAATTCTCTTGGGAAGTGTAAAACTTAATGAACTTCAAAACATTTCCATTTTCTGTAAATTTATCTTCAATGTAAGAACACGTAAGTGGCTATAAGGGCGTAAATATGAATTAGAAGAATCATCCAAGACGTACAGCTTAATGTTTTTATCAATCAAAATAATATCTGATTGTTGGCAAAATAAGATGCATTCTGAAATCAACAGGTTGTGAAATATTGGCATCGATGAGATCGGTAATATTCATCTTATGGATTTTGAAAACAGTTAAACTTTCCTTGAAGGACGGGTTTATTTCTTTATTCAGCAAATGAATGAAAAAAATAGACTGGTATTATGATGAGGTCGTCACTCCTAAGATGGTTGGGCACGCTCCTCCACTTTTTCCTATTGTAAGGTAATCTTCGCATTTCTGTAACACTGGAACATTCTACATCCTTAACTACTTGTGAACAACAATCTAAGATAAATCTACCTATTCTTTTCTTAACATCTGTTTTTGCTTCTAATTTGCCTCTAAGTAGTCTTTCATGCCTGAAAAGCTGTTCTAGGAACCTATCCCATCTATTTCTTATTTACTTACATATTGACTTCTGTTCTCCTACTCTTTCAAATACCTCCTCATTTCTAACCTACTCTTCCCCATCATCATTCGTGTGTAATGTCATATCTGAAACGCATTTTTTTTCCGCTGTGCCCTCCGTTCATGTTTCAGCCCCATATAACGCCGCACTCCAGACATACGTACACACCTTTAATAATCTTTTCTGAATTTATAAATTAACCGGTCGCGACCATAGAAGTGACATTTTCTTGTTGAATGCGACTCGATCCTGTTCTATTTTCTGCTTTATATTTCCACCGCTTTTTTTATCTTGATCTATCTGACTTCATAACCCACCTAATTTTTCGTTGGCTATCCTAATCTTCGCTCTTTCCCTACTTTTTCTTTTGTCAATAGTGCTTAGAAGTATAGATTCAAAAGGAACGCTGACAATGTTTGACTCTCTTCCTAATATTTGCTTCTGTATGTTGCTACACTCAAGCTCTATAATTGCCTGTTGCTCTTTATATAAACTATGTATCACTCTTCTATATCTGTATCTCATTCCTACATTTTTAAGTATGATTGTAACATTGTCAAAAGCTTTGTGTAAATCTACGATCCTATATACGCGACCTTTCCTTTTTCTAACGTTTTCTCTATACATATATTATTATTCGTAAATATTTTTTTAGTTTACTATGAATTAATTTGTGACTGGCAAGGTAATATGTTTTCATAAATATATTATTTTATTTGGTTACAGTTTCCTTTGTTTTTCATTCCCGAAGCTATGAGGAAGTTTCATGGAATACTCATGCTAGAAAGAAAACGAAAACGTGGTGAGTTTTTCAATTTAATATTCATTTCTGTTCGTTCATTTCGTCATCTCTTGCAATGAATATTTGGTTTTCATATTTAAAATTATAAAAACAAATCTCTCCTTTGTGTGGACTTTGGGAAAGGGGACTTTATGAATTTAATGTACATAAACACTTGCTGTTCCTTATTTATCCATGTGAGATTTATAAGTATAGGTATATATTTAATNCGAGTAGGTGCTCAGGCACCAGCGGACCCCCCGTTGTTGCGCCCCTGATGGCATCCACAATCAGGGTAAAAGCACACATCGGCAATATATAGCTTTTGTTCATTAAGCAATTTCCTAATTAGTTACCCAAATTTCACGTTAATTTAACAACGAAAATAGCAACAGCAAACTTTACTTATTTCAGCAAAGGAATACATAAATAAATATTTACTAAGTTGAGCACAACCAGTATTGTGGTCAGAATATTTGCAATTACCTTTTCAACTGTAAATGCTTTAAAGTTTGTTCTGAACCCTGTCAGGAGCAACCTTCGAGTAAATTCGACTACAAATAAAATATACCCCATAGAAACGTTTCAACTTCTTTTCATTTAATTAAAAACAAAGTTTCAAGTAAATTCTATCACAAATAAAATATGTTCCAAACAAAAATTGTAACCCCTTTTTACTTTTGGAGGGTGAATTTTTAAAATGCCGAAATGGGTGTTCCACTAATTAAATGAGAGAGCATTAAGTTTCAAGTAAATCTGACCACAAATAATATATGTCTCATTCAAATATTGCAACTCCTTTTCGCCATCGCCCCTCAGAGGTTGAATTTTTAACCAAATTTCAAGTAAATTTAACCAAAAACAAAAAATTTTCATGTAATCTTTGCAAACACCTTTCAGCTTCCTACAGAGGTTGAATTTCTCAAAATGTTGGAATAGGTATATCACTAATTTTGTATGAAAGGGCATTAAAAGTTTCAAGTTTTCATGTAAATCTGACCAATAACAAAAATGTCAAATGTTATAACATGAAGTTTTTTCCATATAAAAATATTATCTAAATTTCCGTTTTCCCGTGTATTTTCCAAAAATTTTCTTTCATGCAAACCATGTCCTGTCAATTACAAGTACAACAAAAAATAAATCAGTCAAATCGGTTGAGCCGTGCTTAAGTTTGGGCAATTTCCTAAAATTGACAGCTAGGAACAGTTTTAATTTGTTTTTTACGTTTTTATCCAATTTTTCTCTTCATAAGAACTTTCCTCAGGCATTAAAAAAAATGATCGGCTTAGCAACACATTTGGCGATTCATGTTTATTTATATAGATATTAGATAGACATTGGATATTAATAAATAATAAATGATGGAATGACTAAATTACTTTAGCGCCAAAATTACTACTAGAATAATTGACTCCGTATGTACACATTTGTTTTGAATCGTTTAGAAATTAACATTATCTTCTTTTTAGGGTTCCGTACTTCAAAAAGAAAAACGATAGGATAGGATTCGTTGATCCTTCGACTGTCTGTCTGTCAAGACCCATTTTCTCAGGAGCGCATAGAGATATCAAGTGAAAATTAATATCAAAATACTCAAGTCTGCAATCCCTTGGAGCAGTGAAAAAATCAAATTGCTAAGTCAACGTAATCGAAGATACGACCGTTTACACTCGGGGGGGAATCAAAACCTATAGAGTACTTCCTGGCGATCTAGAATAATGAAACTTGGCAAGAAGTAATGCCTCATAGCACAAACAAAAGGAAAAATCCGAAAATCGTAAATTTGTAGTTATACCTCACAAAAAAAAGTTTTTTAATTGTAATATTGTACGTATACGGTTTGGGAACTGATCTTGGGTGGAAACTTAAAATATACTCAGAAGAAGCGGTAGCGAGACTCGATTCTCGTGAGACGCCATGATAGGCCAACAATTCATAATATACATGCCCTCGGTGCATGTACGAGTCCGACTCGCTCATAGGCGGTTTTTTTATAATAAATACCATTTTCAGTAAGAGGAAACAGATCATCTATACAACTTTAATAATTAATAATTAATTTACATGATAAGGAATTACAGGATAATTTTTATCGATTTGCTATATAAAATACTGTCTCCATGTCTATTATAGTAATATTATATAGTATTATTGATTTGCTTAACTGTAATTGGTCTTTGTCTTTTTAAGACTTGAAGAAATTTTAAAAAGCATCAAAGGTATTTATTGCATTTGACTCATTTCACATTTTTGTCAGTTACAATAGGAATATTAAATCATTGATGCACCTACTTTTATTGGGATGTATTTTTTAAAAAACAAAGTACACGAATTTATTCTTTAATTCTTTATTCGTGTAGCTAATCATTATTCAAGAAATTCTTTAATTTTATAATATTTTCGTTGGAAGATAGGCACTTATTGTGATTAATTGGTACACTTTAGTTTACGTTTTATTTCGATAATATTCAATCACATTTGATCGAATTGTTAGCTGTTTGACTCCATCATAGTGAGAGATATTTGGGTAATGTTTATACATTTATTATATCATATTTCGAACGGTATTACACTTTTTTGTCATAATTTGAATGTAGTAAAAATCAAACAACTTTATGTTTTAAATATTTAAATTTTGCACCAGTTGGTGTATTACCAGAATGCACTTTTCATTAAAGAATATTGATCTCTGTTACCCTATTGCTTTACAAGTAGAATTATATCTAACAGAAAAATATAGTAAGTACAATAAAGGCTGTTCTTTAACACCGGAATTAAGATAAATAAAATTTGTTTTCACTGGTTTTTAAATGCCATATAAATCATAGACTCAATTCTACTTCTAAATCAATAATGTAATAGTAGAAATCGATATTCATAAAGAACAAGAACTTTTTATATTTATTACACCTATTCTAATATTGAGTTCCTACATATAAAAAGTGTCTTAGCTTTTCCATTCAAATTACGACAGCCGAACTTATAAAATCTGCTAAATTTTACATAAATCGATGCCGAAACAATCGTCGTATTCGCCATCTGCTCATTTTGCTCGGAATAGGTCCCAATCTGATAATTTATTTTTTGTTAAATGTTTGGAAACATAAAAAACGGTATTCCCTCCGCATTTTTTCATGCAACATCGATTTTGTTAAAAATCCGTAATTAAGCTTAGGTACCTTAGTTTTTTTCTTCAAAAGCTAATATTGTTCCTAATGTGTGCTTTTTGTTTTTTCGATAACTAATAACTCAAAAACTGACTTATCAAAAAAATCTTCAAGGAATACTTTCTACTTTAGAATTTATTCCAACATCGATTTTACAATGTAATAAATTTCCCCCCTGAGAAGGATGGCATCCAGGGGCGCAACAACGTTACAGTTTGACTGGGTGCTCCCATCATAATACTATAAATGACTAAAAAAAAACAAAGGTCACCAATGTATTGAATTTCTTATACTTGAAAAAGTCGATTTCGGCTGCTCATTTTCGAGCTTGAACAGAACATTCAAGCTAGGTTATTATTTAAATCGATTGGAATTGACTGGTGCCCAACCCAATCGAGTAGGTGCTCAGGCACCAGCGGACCCCCCGTTGTTGCGCCCCTGATGGCATCCACAATCAGGGTAAAAGCACACATCGGCAATATATAGCTTTTGTTCATTAAGCAATTTCCTAATTAGTTACCCAAATTTCACGTTAATTTAACAACGAAAATAGCAACAGCAAACTTTACTTATTTCAGCAAAGGAATACATAAATAAATATTTACTAAGTTGAGCACAACCAGTATTGTGGTCAGAATATTTGCAATTACCTTTTCAACTGTAAATGCTTTAAAGTTTGTTCTGAACCCTGTCAGTCAAGCATGTTTTACATGCTCGTTCCAATGTTAAGGGCTGCAACTAATAAGTATATAATTTACAAATTCTAACAACATATAAAAAGATAGAATGAGAAAAAAGAATCTTTTGAGTTTATTAAATCAATATATTCCATTTTTTTACAGTTGCTGTCAGTTTTTCTTTCTGGACTTGATGAGTAGCGAGAAGGAACCTTTGATACGATCCAATTTCAACCACAACGGTAATTGAATTTTATTTTCATTATCCCCAATGTATTTTTCAATTTCTTTGCTTTTCCGCCCCTAAAAATTAATGAGTCAATCTTAATACTTTCTGATGGTTTTCTCCGATTTATGCGTCGTTTAAGGAATTCTAAATCAAAATTTCGTCTGAAACTTCGTGAGTGGTTTCATCTTAACGTAACCTAAATACAACTACTTTCTCTGCAAAAACTCTGGGAACTGAATAACACTCCAATTAAATGACGTTTTAAAACCATATAATCAACCATTTGCTCATTACTTGAATCACAAGATAATGCAATACAAAAATTAATAAAAAGGCTGGCTGACAAAAAAAATGTAGATCTCCCCCTTGAACATGTTAAATTAACGAGAGTATGAAAATTTATGAGAAACCACGCAAATTGTATATAAATATTACCACAATAAAATGATCATATCGGCTTAGAATTTTTATGAGCGTTTTTTAGAAGCTTATAGGCCCTAAACTTGTAAATTACACGATATTGTGTAACCTGCAGAAAAGAAACAAAAAATACTTACATTTTTACAATACATGTATTATATATGTTAGGCCCGAAGACCGAAAACGCTCACCGAACGCGTTTTGGCTGTTTTAAAACGCTCGCAACGCGTTCTGGTAACTGTTAAACAGCAGGAACGCGTTTTGTCAATTGTTAAACGCTCGCAACGCGTTCTTAATGTTCGACTTGTATTATTTGCCGCTTTCTACCTGCGTACAATGAGATTTATATTGTACTTATAAAACAAATGAATTTTCATCCATTTTTCAGTTTTTAGGAAACAATTCAATTATTGACAACTAACTTTTCGGTCTTCGGGCCTAACATATATAAAACAGTATCATTAAACTAACTGTCAAACAAAGCGCAGCCTCAACCGTTGGACCTAAACAATTTATATTTTGAGTAAACATTCTTCCAATACCCTGGGTGTCCACCAAGGTGAAATTTAAAAAAAAAAAAGAAAGGGTTGAAACGGAGTAATACACTTTGTATGAATAAACATAAACAGTCTTTCAAGATCCGTTGGAGGGAAAAAAGTATGGGTCGGAGGGATGAGGATTATCTTGCTAAACAACAAAAGTGTGTTTTTATGAGGCGGTGAAAGGGTGGAGATCAAAAATTGATTATTTGCTGGTTTACGATTGGTTCTGTATACAAAAAGAATTTTTAATTACTTCGTATTGTATTTTTGTAATTTAAGAAAATAGACCAATTGACTTATTGCTAATAGTGTTTTCTGTTTATGGTGCATAATGCCTCTGAATGCAATAATCATAATGATAAATATAAAATTGTTAAAATCGGAACAACGATGTTTTTCAATTTTTTATTTATATTTTAGGTCACATATCCAGTGCATTTTTACGTTTTATTTCAATACAAAAGAAATTAATGGTTATTCATCAATAAAAAGCTTATTGTGAAATTGACCTACACCCTAAAGTAGACTTTAAAAACTGTGCAGATTGTATGACCGTTTGATTGTGGTAATAATTTTTTACACATTGAGTGTAAATCACATGATTGTTCTTAAATTTTTATACGTCCATTAATTTGACATGTATATACATCTGGGATCAGAATTTCTGTAGGCCAATTGTTTTATTAATTTGGATATTAAATATTTTACACTAGAAGAAATTCACGAAGTTTCAGGCTAGTGTTTATAATTAAAAAAGGACATATAGTGAGCTGTATGATTTTTATTGTTTGTTTGCATTAAAATATGAAATCCATTCTTATATTTCAATTTTTCGTAGATACCTAAAATTTGTATGACGTATATTATTATAGGATTAATTTATATTAAGTTTTGTTTTATAAAGACCTGATTATTTTAGATAATTGAACCTGGTTGATAAAACCAAAGATTTTCATATTAATGTAATTTCAGTTAATCAGTAAAAATTCCTTTAATAACTGTGGAAAATTTAATTTGTTACCGACATTTTATTTTATTTGATGTTAATGTTTATTTAATTTTGTTACAGCTACATCTGTTTTTTTTCCAAGAATTGTATAGAAAGCTCGTTAGGTGGAACGCCAGTGTTGGAAGAAAAATTATGAACCAATTGCAGCCATATGTGTTTTACGCAAATTGGTCATGAGTTTTTAGAAGTTAAGGGAATGAAGGTAACAATCTTTCATTTTCTCCAACTTCTTTATCGTTTGAAGAAATTGCATTTTATATTCCAAATAAATAAGATAAATAAACTCCTCTTTATGTTTCCTACAGTTTAATGCAAATCTCGATAATTGTAATTTGCTTATTTTATTTTTTTGGTTAATAATACCCAACAAACTATTAAAAAGTATTTTGTGCATTTGAACGATAATATTGAAATTTATTACATTTTTTATCGAGAGATCAAATTAAATGTTAAAATATTCTTTTTTCTTCTTTTGTTTATTTCCGCTATTTCTTTACTTTTTCCTTTTTTGTTATTAGTATCTCGAAGTTACAAATTTGAAGTTATTTTGAAACAGCAAACCCTAAACAATTACAAAAAACTGTTATTTTTTTCTCATTTACTGGATAATTCATTCATTCGGGTTAAGAGGTTTTAATGAACTTGAGTTTTTCCTGAGGGTGCTCATCATGAGCGAGAGGTACCCACTATGAGTCGGGGGTGCCCAGGCACCCTGAGACCTTCTGCTGTTGCGCCCATAGTCGATTTTAATAGTTTCTATTTTAGTCATTTAAGCAACTACAGAAACTTCAAATATTCGTTTATATTCTTAGTATGTGTACGTTGTAAATACATAAGATTCATATTTCAGAGCAACCAAAAGAGCGTTCTGGACATCTCGGGTTGACCTTTTTGATCATTCAAACGTAAGTCTACATTAGTGAAAGGCTGAGAACCGAGCATAGATGTAATTGGAGTCATTAAAGGTAGGCATCATTTTTTGAAAAATAAGTGTGGTATAGAAAAGTTCAGCCATCCCTTTATACAAATAATAAAGTAATGTAAGTCCAATAAATGCAATTTAAAGCTTTGAGGGATGTTTTGATTTGTTCAATGAATATTTCGTTTATCAAATTTTGCATTTTTGCTTGTGCCACATAAAAAGCAAAATGTCATAAATTTTCGTTTCAAATTTTTTTTTACTTCCAATTATTTGTTACCGTAGTGTTGGTAAATATTCTTATTTATCACGAAATCATTGTTTAATAATTTTCAGTTTTGTAAGTGTTTTGTCTGGTACCATACTAAACTTTTAAACCCTTTCAAGGAAAACGAAATTTGTATTTTTCCTGGTTTTTTGTTTGATTGGTATTTTTCTTACATTACTTTCCTAGTTTAATTTTGTAATATTTCAATTTTTGTATTTGATAGAAATTGTCTTTTATTTCACAAGAAGTTAATTATAAATAATTTAGGATATGTAACTATAAATGAAAAATTGATACTGATACTGATTTAATGTTAAATTTGACTTTTTGAATATGATAGTCAACTCTGAAGTCCTATTAATTTAATTCATTAAAGTAATTGAAAAATAATTTGATAGTAATACAAAATTGTAAACGTTTGCAGAGGCTTAAGTATTATTTAGTAGTTTGATTTTGACTTTTGGGATAATTTATTGTTATAGAACTCATCGTATGAATAATACTTGTAAAAGTATAAAATTTGTAGAAAACTGTGAAGTTTGTTTGGAGCTGTTGAAAATTCATATGTACTTTTGTTACAGAATTTTATTTTTCCTTCCTGAACCGTGAAGGAGCTTCCTTGGAGCGCCAAAGCTGAGAAGGCAATGCCATAGAACGATTGGATCACGGCGGCGATGTTAAAAGAGGAATTGAATGTGGATTCCGTCAACATCGGTATGTTATTTCTAATATTTAATATTTTCTTGCATCATTTTTATTTATCGAAATATTGTATATCTACCCTTATTTTGCGTTCTAAAAGTTTATTGTATATTATTATTTTTTGCGCATTAAACGATAAAATGACTTTTTCAAACGTTTGACTGAAACAGGTCTTTAAATTAACTGTTTTTTACACTTTTTCTTGCATAATGCCGGTTTGATTTTAAATTCTTTATTAGTTGCAATTACTGTGAATTTATAAATAAATTTTTAAATCACGTTTGTTATTTTAAAGCAACATTTATTTAATTCAAATGGAAAATGTCTTAAAATTAGTTGTTTATTTGTTCACATTTTCTTGTATAATGCCAGTTTGATTTTAATTCCTTTTTACTTGTTTACACCAAGAAGTATGAGTTGTTAAATAAATGTTTGCAATATTGTGTTATTTAAAATAAACATTTATTTAATTTAAACTTTTTTCTTTTAAGTTTAAGTATCTTTACTTTTTCTAAGATTCACTTCAGATGATTTTGTTGCATTCTAGACGGATTTCTTATCTTTGAACTTGAATTTTAACATCTGTATAGATTAAGACTTTTTAAATATTAATGGCATTGCAAATGAAAACAAATAATTGCAATCAACAAATAAAAATAAGACTATATAAATTTTTAACTTTCTTGTTGATTTTTGTCTAATAAATAATAATCTTTTTTGCAGTGACAGCACTATCAGCAGCTGGTGTCATCTAGACGTTGCTTTCCACCACCCATCAGGGAACTACAGTGCACTGCGTGTGCATTCGGTCGGGAGTGATCTGGAGCGTCAATCTTCGAACTCGAAGTCTCCAGAACTCGGAATTAGGTAATTTCTGAGATTCTGAGTCTTGGAAACGGCGGGATTTGAATCTCAATGTCTCCAGGACGATGGATCTATTTGGATACATTGTTCTGAAGACTTGAGACTCAAATCTCAAAGGGACTAAAACTCAGCATCTCAGAATTACCAAATTTCGTGTTTGGAGACCTCTTGTTCGAATTTTGGCGCATCCACGTCCTGGGCGTTGTCCCGGACGGTCTTCGAATTAAAAAATCTTTCGCGCTAAACCTGGTAGACGTGAAAAATTCATTTTTGTCTTTTTTAAATAAAACAAGTAACATAGGTTTTCGTTTATTTTATTGAAAGTCCTGCCCCCTTTATCCTCCCGCACATTCACACTCTCACTCACACCCCTTTCATACTCCCACTCTCTCACACATTTACACCCCTTTCATGCTCTCATTCGTTCCCCATGCACTCGCTCATTCACACCGAGATTCACATCGAGGGGTAAATGAGAATATGGGAAAGGTCCCACATTCTCATTTACCCCCACTTTCTCACACATTTATACCCCTTTCTTGCGTTCATTCATTCATAACCCCACACTCCCACACCTTTACATCCTCATTCGTACCCACACGTCTCATACTCTTATTAACTCCCACTTTCTCACACATTTATACCCCTTTCTTGCGTTCATTCATTCATAACCCCACACTCCCACACCTTTACATCCTCATTCGTACCCACACGTCTCATACTCTTATTAACTCCCACTTTCTCACACATTTACACCTCTTTTCGTACCCCCACTCTCTTACACATTCTTACCCTCATTCAAACCGAGGGGTAAATGAGAGTATGAGATGTTTCTCATACTCATATTTATCCCCTATTTCTCACGTAATTAACACCCCTCACGCAAACATTCAAACCCCTTTCAAGCTCGCATTTATACATCCACTTTCATAACATGTTCACAACCCTTCTCTTGATATTCCCACATCCTCATTCGTGCCCATTTTATTCTCCTATTTGTACCCACTCCTCATTTACACTTTCACCCTTTCACTTGCATTCGTGTTTCTCTCATTCATATCTCTACTGCATGCTCTCATTGATACTCTCACTCTTTTATACACATTCACTCTACTCTTGCACCCCTGTTTCATTGTCATATGCTCACCGTTTGACACTTTCTACACTCACTCCCCACAATAAATCCCCCATTTCCAATATTTAATATTACAATAATATCTATAAGTGTAAATGCATAATGTAAATGTGTGATAAATATTAAAATAAATAACCTTATTCTATCGTATTCTAAAACTATCTATATGATAGATACACAGAACTAAATATATTATTAAAATATGAAACATGAATATCTTATTAATAATTAATAAATATATAGTATCTTAAATATTCAATACAGATTTTAAAAGTAGATTTATTGAAACCAATAGTGAAGTTAATACTCCTTAAAATATTTTTTTTAAGAAACTAAAGGGGAAACTACTGAAGAATTCGTTACAAAAACTATTGAGTGAATAAACCTGAAATACAAACTAAACAAAAATGCATAAAAGACAAATAAATATTTCATATGAGATCATAATTCATTTGCTAAGGTAAGACAGTAAAAAATAACAACGACTTTTCTTTAGTTAAATACAATTCAAAAAAATCGTTTACAAGGAAGTGCTAGACAATCATTAACTGTTAAATTAAAATAACAGGAATACTTTAAAAAAGAAACAACTGTAAGTTATGTAACATAAATTTTGTTCAATAAATCCACATTTGTTAAGACGTTATTAAGACGAATTATAAACTAAAGGCCAAATAAAAAGAAATCCATTCACACCAATCAGACAAATCGCAAATGCCATCCATTGTTTTGGAGTTTGATGGAAAACGGGAGGACTACGTCACAACTCATGAACTCGATTACTAAAAGTAAACCACCAACATCGATCTGAAATAAAGCATAAGTCTAAGCATTTGTGTACTTTTTTCCATAGCGAATAAAATAACTCACCAGATCACATTCCCAGCTTCATATTTTTCGGTTGGCCCCTTTCATGGCAGAAAATCCACTACTATTCATTCGAATATCTGAAACAAAGAATACACAAATATACAAACTCATATTTTTCATTTATTTTTACTTTAAACTAAAACATCTGAATTTTATAAGGATAAAAGATAAAGGAGGACTTTATATTGTTAATCGATTTTAAAATTATTACTGATTTTGAAATGTACTGCAACTGGCAATTGGTCCTAAATTTTCAGACATAAAAAAGCAACTTGATAAACAAATCCAAACACTCAAAACTACTTTGATGACTGGCGAGTCACACAAACACAAAAATATTTTCAACAGTTTTGCTTTAAAAGGGGGAATAGTTTATAAAATCACGAACACTGGCCTTAAGTGGGTGGTACCTGACGTGGCACGATATCAGGTTTTAAAATTGTGCCACGATGACATAGGGCACTTTGCATACGAAAAAACATTCGAATTTATTTCGTCCAAATACTGGTTTAAGCATATGCGCCGCTTTGTCAAAAAGTACGTCAAAAATTGTATGCATTGTTTATACTACAAATCAATTTCGGGATCTAAACCGGGATATTTGAATCCCATTCCTAAAGTCGGTCGGCCCTTTCATACTATCCACATTGACCACCTAGGACCCTTTATCAAGACCAAGCATGGAAATACCCACATTTTTGCTGTTATAGACGCATTTACAAAATTTATATTAATTTTCCCAGTAAAAAACACTAAAACTAAACACGCATTAAAATACCTAAGTGAGGTAATTAAGATTTTTGGGGTTCCCCGTCGGGTGATTAGCGACCGAGGGACGGCATTCACATCAAAGTCGTTCCAAAAATTCTGTCGGAAACGAGGAATGAGACATTACCTTAACGCCGTCGCGTTACCTAGAGGCAACGGTCAAATCGAAAGATATAATCGCACCTTACTTAACTCCTTGGCAACCATGGGTGCCGATGTCGATGACGACAGCTGGGACGAAAATATCAATAATATTCAATNCTAAAGTCAAATTTCCAAGATTTTCTAGCTTGCATATTTTTTACATTTCATTTTCATTCACTTAAACAAAAAAGGAAAAACTTCATTATAACAAGTAATAATGATAAAAAAATATCTAATTACAATATGTACGTAGATAGTACGAATATTTTAAGTATTTATTTAAAAAAGAATAAACACAAGAGTACTTTGAAAGTTTTGCAAAATAAAAATAAATTGATATTTGCAAAAACATGCAATTTTTCCAGTTCGTCAAAGTGCATACTAGTCAGTGATATGGTAATTTGATACTACATTATTAAGCGATAAATCATGACACAATAAGAAGATTTTAATATATAACTAATGTAAATTAATTGTATTACATAGTATAGTCTAACTGAAAAAATAACACTACACTCTTCAAATATATGTACAACACAAACTCTCGTTACAGTTTACAGTAAGTTTATCTTAAGAAGAATAATTATTATAAAAGATAATTAATCTAAACGTTCATTAAAAGGAAACATAAGAAAAAACAAATCAAAGGCACATTTTTAATAAAAATATTTTTAATATCGTGGCATTGCTAGTACAACTGGAAGTGTTCGACTATTTTGTTATTTTAAACGAAACGACCCTAAACGTCATATTTGTTAAATTTATTTAATTCAAACTGCAAACATTTTTAATAAACGACATCAGTGAATAAAAAAGAATTATCTCGCCAACCAAAACAGTTATAATTTTAAACTTTTTTTTAATGAATTGAACTATAAATTGTTTATTAATTTTGAAACTTACCGTTGCGTACAGGTAATTTCATGAATGTGTGAGAAAGTTAGTTTTTTTAAAATAAGATTGTACTTATACCTGCTTGACTCCAATAGTACCTACAGGAAAAAATGTCGTTTATAGATGAATTTCGGAGAAATAAGTATTAGGGTGCGAAAAAATTATTAATAACAAATAAATAGTAAAAGGAAGGACAAATGCAGTGGCGTAGCTAGACGTGAGCGAAGTGGCCACTTTCCCTCGGCCTCGCATTTAAAGGGGCCTCGCGAGGCCCCCTGTAACTTTGAGTTTCTCTACGATTTTTTTTGTGTGAGTAAATAAAAAATTACTGTTTTAGTATGCTCACTTTTATGTAATACCAAATATAGCTAATCATTAAATTACCTACATATAAAATAAAAAATTTACTTCACCTCTTTCAGTTTGAACCGCTCAAAATCCTTTTAGATAAATATCTTAATCCAGTGTAGCGTAGTCCCTGATAAAAATTTGAAGCTAATCGGAAAATTCTGGTTCTTGGAACTCCAGCCAACGTTTTTCCCTAAGGGCGAATAAAAAATAATTTTACTTGGTACCCCATTACACGGAGAAAATGAAAAAGGAAAATTTTCCTAAATATTAAAGCGATATTTACAATTTATTCTACTAGCCCATTGCTTCGCAAGCGAAAATAATAAAAATTACAATTTGGACCCAAAATAAATTTACTAGGTATTTTAGTTGATATTACAAATTGAATTGTAATATTCAAGAAAAAAAAAAAGAAAATTAAAAGAAAAAACATCTCAAAATTGAGATTATTACAAGTTACCTAATAAATTCTACTATTTCAATGGCAAATTCGGTCATATATTTTCGAAAATTGCAATTTTTGCATTGTCATAAAATTTAGTTTTCTCTGTGTAACTATAAATTTAGATTCCTATTAATCCTTCTATGTTCAAAAATGCTTAATATAGGTAGAGCTTTCATAGATACATCAGTTTTAATTAATATACAACAAGTTAGTAGAATTTACATAAATTTTGTTAAAAGTATAAATCTTAAACAACAACGCCTACCTTCCATTTTGAAATTAAATTTTCCGTAGAATTTTCAACCTGTTACACTAACTTTTTACAGCATCCAATTATTTTCTTGTTATCATTAAAATACACATTTACACGTAATTTTATTTTAACATTAAAATTGTGTTTTTAACACTGATCGTGCTTAGCAAAATTAAGCAATAGACCTCTAAAGGACAATGCTACGAAACGAATGAATATTCTGTTCGATAGAGGAAGATAAACAACAACGATATTTTTACCAATTCAAACTGTTAAAATTTCAATTCTACTAAAATACTTCTTAGTTGAATCGGATGACTAAACATCTCTAAGTTTTTTTTAAAGGACGATATGTAGAGGTCACGATTACACTGGCGTCTTTTATCGATAACATGATAACGAACCACACAAATACTTTTACGTATTGTTACGAATAGGTACGAAAGAAAAATTGACCGTATATTTGTTTAAATCCTAATATCTACATCATTACCTACAATTTGTTTAAATAAATTAATATAAAATATGAATTATGCAGATTGGACACATAACAAATACAATTTGCAATCTATCTTTTTTTTATTGAAAAAATTAATATGACCTTTATTAGTGTAACAACATTCGATACATATAATGCTGAAGACTTCTACATGCAAAATAAATTAAAATCTCTAAAGATTGGCAGTGTTTTAAATAAAAAAATTAATAACCCGGAAACGTTAACAGATTAATTAGAAACATGTTATTACTATATCAAACTAGAAGTAGTTAAAAGTGATCTAAATGTAAATAAATCAAGCAGGGTCACCAGGTAGGCTAAAGTTACCCTGGAAAATTTGTAGCCAAAGTCAGCCTGCATTTAGTCCAGTAAAATTAGCATGAAAAAAACGTAATTTTTGCTAAAAAATGTCTCTAGGTTTAAGCTAAATGCAGGGTGTTTAGAAATGTTGTTAGGAATGTAATGTATATTAGGCTTAACTTTTTTGAAATGGAAAATTTTTTATTAACAAATTAATGTGTATAAATATGGTATCTTCGATTTTTAAAAATAATTTATTAACTTTACAGAAAAAAAGTGTTTACTAAGTGTTGTACGCCTTCAGAAAATCTACAAAATAATGAAAGTTCATGGGTTATATTTAAGGTTGCCACTTTTTTATTACATAAATAAAGGACGTTGGTTATTAAAGGTAGAAAAAAAGTACGCTGTGTCAAATAGAGTACAATTTATTTTACTCTATCATTTTGCTTTAAAACATATTTTTCATTACTTTTAACAAATAATTATCATTGTTAAACAATTCCACAGCATCTCTACAGTCTAGATTTGAGTTAAAGTAAATAAGTAGTTCATTTTTTATCAGATTTTGAGACGCTTTATTTCTTTCATTCCGCCATTTGTCATTCATCATAGAAAAAACTCTCTCTGTAAATGCAGATATGGCGGGAATCGACAGTAAAAATGAAAGATTAAAGTAATAAACAAATTTGAGTAATTATCACCACTCTTATTAAATACTTGCTGCTGTTTTTGTGCAGTAGGTTGATAACTCCGCAAAGTTCTCCGTAAAAATCATCCATATTTACATTAAGTTTTTTCAGATTTAATTTTTCGACTATTTTCACAAAATTATCAAATTTAACATTACTTTTTTAAATTATATTGCTAAGTGTAAATAATCAGTTTGAGTCATTAAAATTAAGCTATTTATTTATCGATCTCAGTAACTCTGTCATTATATTTTACGGAAAAATTCTTACAACCGTCCCTTTTCTGTATATTATATAATATCTTAAAATCTCTGAAATAAAGTATTTTCGTGTACTTTATTTGTCGCATAAAGTATAGAGTACAATTACCCTAAATAACGTACAATACTTTATAATAAAGTACGGGTGGCAACCCTAGTTATATTATCAATATCAGAAAAGAACTGCGTAGAGTAGTTAGCCTGAGCTTGTTCGTTATCTTCGTGACTAATAAGGCCAAACAACTGAATAAAAGTAGCCCGTGACAGTAAATGTCGACCTGCGCGAAGACCAATGTTTCTTAGCATGCATACCTATCACATATAAGAAATGCACTTGTGGCTTAACTGGTGAAACAGTATTACGCCATATTACGCATTCCTAAGAAGTTTGCATTTCGTGAATTATTTGAATGTGTATTAACCGAATTTTTTGGACATTCTTGTATGATAGTGATAGTGTTACAATGCCTCATAGGTGTTGTGTTTCGGGATGTCGGTGCAATTATGATAAAGACCCAAAAGTAGCTTTTTTCGGTTTTCTAGCAGACATTGATCTGTGTAACAAGTGGATTCGTTCCATTCCTCTAAAACTATTACAAAATCCAGTAAAGTTTGTGAATTACATTTTGTGAAAGATAGTGTTCTCCACGTTTCAACTGCTCAGGATTCCCAAAACAGGTAAAATTGTTGTAATAAATTTGAAATATCTTAAATTGAAGCCGGGAGCAATTCCTAATTTATTTTCGAATTGTCCTGATTATCTGTCAACAAATATTCACTCGCGATTAAGCAGAGACAAAAGTTAAACATTATTGAAAGCGAAAATTTTTTGCATAGTAAAATTGATTTTAAAGCGTATGGAAAGTCTTTCACCTATTGTGCGAATGAAGGATTTCTGACTGTTTTCAGTTCGTATAATTGGTTCAAAATATTAGACTACGAAAACATAACGATATTTAAATTAGTATACTCGGCTGGACCTGTTATAACTTACTCCGTTATAATAAATTCCGAATTAAATGTGCAAATGTTTTTTAACAGAAAAGAATTCCATTTTGAGTGGGGAATATCAAAATTCCGTTTGACTCAAAGAATATAAACGAAATCGAGTCTTTCTTCACAGAAATAGATAAGCATGATATAGACAAAGTAATTATTGATACCAAAAAATCTGTATAGCATGTTACAGTTTTAATAGAATCGATAAAATGTGAAGAAAACCAGCATTAAATTTTACATGTGAGCAATTAAAATTGCACACATTCGTTAAAGAAAGATTCCGATATTCGAATGATACTTTAGTTGTGACTTCTATTATTAATTCAATTACTCCACATAGTTATAAATTTTTAAGAAATTCAAACTTATTGATACTGCCTCAATTAAAATAATTTGGGTGTCTTTATTAACTGATCCGACATTCTAGGAAAAACGAACTGATCTGATTTACGCCAAAAATCTGTTACAATTATTAGATGCAAATGATAAGTACGTAACTGTATTAATAGACGAAATTCATATAAAACCATATTTAGACCATAAAGGAGGAAGTGTTGTTGGCACTGTTTCTTTAGCAAATTGTGCCTTTGTGTACATGGTATCGAATTTAAAAGAGGTTACCTATCTATATAAGCCCAACAAGTAAAATAAATAATGAGCTGCTTTTTTCGTTAATAAAAACTGTAACTATTAAATTGGAAGAAATTGGTTTTCGCGTGTTGTGGTTGTTATTCTATTGTTGATATTGTATATCTATAAGTTATTATTGACTATAAAAATTTGGTTTTTCTCTTTACAAGTATTTTTACGAAATGCAATGAAGTGTTCTGTTGAAGCCTGAAAAAATTTTTCAAACTGAAAGTCTTTAAATATTCACAACATTCGAAATCTACGCTCGTATGATGCCGGCTGGACCGGCAAGATTGCTCGGTCGACTAGTGCTGACGTCACTCGCAAGCACTATGGCCTTATTATTCACGAAGATACAACGGCTTGTCTCAACGATTTCGAATTTTGTACAAGTAATTTCTCTGCATGTTGACAAAGATTATTTAGAACCTTGAGTTACTACTTAAAGAACATTTAATCAGCGAAAAAATTTAAATAAAACTATAACTTTGAGTTTCTGTACGAATTTTTTCGTGTGACTAAATAAAAAATTACTGTTTTAATATGCTCACTTTTATGTAATATCAAACATACCTAAACATAATTTAAATATATTTTCGTATGAAAACCAATTTCAATACCGGGCTTCAGTTACATGTACAAACATAAACTGTAAAGTTAAAAATGGGAATCATTCCCTAATTTTCTGCCTTTAGAGATCCAATATTTTGTTTAAATTAAAAGAAACTGCCTTTAGGATATGGCCTATTAAAATCGGTTCACAATCGGCGAAGAAATCGCGTAACATACACTCGAAAAACAGATAGAGCACCTCGTTTCTTTTGAAGTCGGTAGAAAGTTAATAAAAGTATTGCAAAACATGTAGATATAAATGCGGAAAAATTCGGCATTCATCCTGTCCTTAGTTCAGAAAACATTCAAGTATTTAGAAAATAATTGCATCGACATGGAAAAAAAGCAACTGTCAAATCGATTAACCTCAATCATTCCAGATCATACGGTCTATATTAACACAAAATGTACTAGAAATTTTTAGAACAATCCACTATTGCTGCATGCCTGTATATCTTAAATATAAATTCATAAAACAAAGTTGGGTTAATTACACCATT